CTTGATGTTCAGGGTCTCCTCTGCTAAAAGAGCAAATCAACAAAACCATCCAGAAAATGTATGCTAATTCATTAATTATGCTTTACACCAGGTTGTTTTTTATGCAGTTGATTTAAATGTTCCTGCGGCTGTTTCCCTGTTTTTGTCTATTACATGACACCAACTTCAAATACAGAGCTGTGTTTACTCACAGTTTTTTTTATTTGCTAAAGAAAAACAGCAGCAAGTGAAACAGCTGATGATAAAAACTGCTGTGGGAAATGTTTCACTCTGAGGTCACCTTCACTTTTCTTTTTTTTGCAAAACGACCTGTTTATTCTCACTAGTTGTTTCAGTTATTAGCTGAGCAGGTGCTTCATCAGCTCCCCGCTCTCAGCCTGGAGCTCTCTCTCCTCCTCCTCCTCTTCCCCCTCTGGCAGGAGCAAGAGGAGCTTCAGCCCAGACCTACAGCTGGATGTCACACACATCACTGACTACACAACCTGCTCATACACATTTCCCACAAACAGCGATTAGTGCTGATTAAACCGACACACAGTTCTCACCACATCCATGCACTCTGAATTGTGCTCATCAAAACCTGCTCGCCACCTGTAATCATCGACAGCTCGAGAGTGGGGTGTGTGGCGAGTGGTGCTCAGTACCTGGGATCTCTGGACAAGTCAGCACAATGCTGTCCACTTCTACAGCTTGTGTGGTGGAGAAGTCATTTCTGCAGGAGGAAACATGGACAGTTGGGTCAATGAAATCACTGGAGACGCCCAGCAGGGAGCAGGCGATGCAGAAAGAAGAGCTCTTCTTAAGTCCTACCTTTCCTTCAAATCAAGGCTGCTTCAAGATAAAAACCAAAGAGAGAAGAGTCTCAATAATGCAACCACCTTGTGCCATAATTCAGTTTTTCAATTTAACAGATTCTTTTTTACACCAAACCTCAACACTCATGTATCCAGACAGGAGCTGCTAACAGCTAATTCAGGTTGCTTTTAATGGTGCCAATTTACCAAAATGTACAAATACTGGCTTAAAAAACAGGGCTGAACCTGCAGCTTACAGCACTATACCTCCTGTTTACATCTCCCAAAGCACTGGAAAAAAAGTATTTCCACAAATCAGAGCATGATTATTCCCAAAATGTAATCAAGTTGTTTCTCTAAACAGAGACCGGGCAGCATCATTAGTAAAAAAAAAAGGCAAAGCAGATCTGCCAGAAACATTTCGCCCAACTCCATCTTGCCTTTGGACTGGTTTCCGTAATGCAGAGGGCATTTGTGCGTGCTGAAAGTGTCGCCCCTGTAGGATGATTCCTTGCGACGGTGCAGGACTGATGATCACGTAGTTGGTTCTGATGGGCACGGGGGAGGATGTCGCTACTGAGACCTCGCTGCAGGAGAGGACGAGAACGCAAAGTCAAACGTCAGCATGGCCATATCCTAAAATGACGCTCAGCCACTTGACAGTGGAAACATAAGCACATAACAGGTACATCACTTAACTCAAGGGCAGTAAAGTGTCATAAGGTTTAACTGATCTCCAACTGTGATGGAGCTTCTGTAGCACTGTACCTGAGCTTTTTGGGCACCAGCTTGCTCAGCGACCTCATGCGATTATTAGAGCGGTTTTCATACGTCCTCAGGGCACCTGAGGAAGTGAAGTGCCTCAGGTTGGGAGACTGCAGAGAGAACATACAGAGTCACATGATATAGAGGAAACACAAAACCCCAAAGGGAAGTCAGGGACAGATAACACGTGATTTGTGGTTTGTATCAGTCACAAACAGGGATGGGTCTGATAGCTGGTTCTCTTTTGGATCCAGTTTCGAATAGGTAAAATACCCGGAGTCATGAAGCTTCATGTCCAGATGAATCCCTCGTGGCCCACAGAGAGTCAACAGGACCAGGGGTGGGAAACAGGAAATGAGGAGAGAAGTCAGTGATGTTCAGGTTACCTTTTTCTCCTCAGGGGAGGACGACTGCTGCCGAT